GTCTGGTACAATACAAACAGGACTGCCCAAATTGGTACATGGATAATTCTCTATGAGCCACGTCTACATCGCAGAGCGGGTGGGGGACTGGGGAGGGGCATCCCACTCCTTGTCAAAAGCAAAGCCCCGATGTATGGCCGCCGCAATCACAGCAACGACCTTCAACTCCGAGGCTACGTTCGGGGTTGGATATTCATTTACCTGCCAGCCAGACCCGCGACCGTTGATAAGGCCTGGCACCCAGTTGTCGTCGCCCCCCCCTCCTTCTCCGGCCCCTCATTCATCTTCGTGACCGAATTTCCTCCTCCTCCTCATCCTCCTCCTCCCCTTCCCGCCTCCTCCGTCCCTCCTCATTCCTCCTCCCTACCCCTCCTCCCTCTCGCCCTTCTTCCCCCTCCCACATAAATCCTGCCTCCTGCCCCTGCTCCTCTTCCTCATTATCCTCCCCCACCTTCCTCCCCTCCCAGATACGCGACACCCTGCTTCTTTGACGACATGCCTCTCCAGACAGTCGTGACCGCTTTCCCGGGCCTGGCTCCGTCGCGGCTGCACCACGACGGGAGGATGTCTGGATTCCTTTCCTCCTTTCGTCGGGTGATCGTTAACGGGGAAGGGACCATACAGTGGAGGCCAGTCCACAAGAAACCTTCCAGCAGGCGGTCTCGCTGGGGCGTGCTCCGAACCAGGTTGCAGAAGCTGGGGAAGAGGGCCTCGCGGTTCATGGCCTTGAGGAGAGCGGGGGCCAAGCTGGGCAACATCTTCCGCACTGGAGGTCTGGCCTCTGTCCTGCACGGTGCGCGAGTGCGAGGCGTGCCCACCAGGGAGTTGCAGCAGGCGCGGACCGCTAACGCCCGCGCCATCGGCGGCGAGGCAGGGCGGAAGTCGCGGACGCTGCAGTTCGCGATTCAGGAGGGCGACGGCTGGAGGAGGGACCCCTTCTACGCGGCCACAGCGCTCCCGTTGTTGTCATGGTCGAAGGCTGTCTTTCAGGGGGGCCAGGAGGCCGGCCGTCTTCGTGACCACCCACGCCAGGACGAGTCCGGCTTCCTGGGGTGAGGTCCGCGGGCCGACGGCGGCGGTGAAGTTGACGCTCGAGAGGATCGGGTGGCAGTTCACGGCGTGGGATACGTGGACCACCGACACGGGGCAGCAGCTGAACTTACAGGAGTTCAGCCCCAAGTTCGTGGCGGCGCAGATCGAGGCCGGCACGACGCGGGCACTGATGAAGAGGGTGACGGAGCACCGAGGCTTCGAGGCGCTGCAGTCGCGCCCGCCCTCGCTGGAGCCGCTGCGAGCGGGGCTTCAGGCGCTGCGCCGGAGAGGAGACGAGGAGATGGTGTTCCTGGTCGAGTCGTTGGTGACGGGCGGCACCGTGTCGCAGTACGACCTGTACGTGGAGCGGGCCGAGCTGGACCCGAGGTGCCAGTGGTGCCACGCCGCCTTGGGCACCACCCACCACAGGCTGTTCTGCTGCGATGCGACCTGCGCGCTGGCAAGGGACGCTGGCCTCGCCAGGGTTCGTGCCGCTGGGCGAGCGGCGCCGCTGGACGACCTGGGCATGCTGCGAGGGCTGGTCGACCTGATGCTCGACGAGGCGGCGAGGCCTGCCAAGGTCGAGTGCTGTCTCAGAGCCGGGGTCGCGCTCAAGCAGCTGTGGATTGGCATCGTATGCGTCGACGGGTCCGTCACTTGCCCGAGGTGCCCGCAGCTCGCGAGGGCTGGTTGGTCAGCAGTGTCGGTGACGGCAGACGGGCGCCTCCAGGGAGGTATGTACGGGTGCGTGCCAGGAGAGTTCCAGGAGATAGGCTACGCCGAGCTGTACGCGGTGGTCAGGGTCTTGCGGGAGAAAGGGCTCGGGCATCTCACCATCGTGAGCGACTGCAAGGGCGTAGTCGACGATTACTTGCGGGGGGAAGCTTATTGCACCTCGCACCTAAGTAAATACGCAGATCTGTGGCGCGAGTTTTGGTTCCACGTGAACGATGCTGGGCACGACATGGTCTCCCTGGTCTGGGTCAAGGCGCATGCCTCGTGGCGCGTGGCCGAGCTGCTGGGGGCGAGTTGGTGCCACCACATCGGGAACAAAGAGGCGGACAGGCTGGCCAAACTTGGAGCCCGTCTTCACCCGCAAGATCGGCTTCGAGAGTGTGAGGCCAGATTTGCCGCGGCCCACGAAGCGGCCGCCGACCTCCTGCTCCACCATGGCGTGGTGCTGAAAGAGCTCGCGGGCTTGGGCTGGCCCGACAGGGGTCCTCTCCCTGGCCGTCGCGGGGCCCCAAAGGGGATTCAGCTGGAGTTTGAGAGGTCCTCAAACGGGCACACTTTAGAGCGTCTGGGTAGGGCCTGGGGTTGCCTCCGGTGTGGGATTCGCAAGGCCTCCAGGGCCAGAGTGGTTTCGCTCCCATGCGTTGGGGTCCCGAGGCCAGCTGCCCTGGCGCATGATTCCCATCGGCTCTGGGTCGTTCTGCGTCGTCGGGGCCTGGGGGGGAGTCCGTCGTCGTCGGGGGGGTACCAGACCGAAGGGAGTCAGGACGCCATCGTGTTCTGTAACGTCTGCGGGGCGTACGCCCGACGGCAGACGCATTTGTTGCGCGACGAGTGTAAGCCAGCGAATCGTCTTGCCAGGAAGGCGTTGGATAAGCTCCGTGCAGGGCGAGAGCCTCAGTCTGATGTCTACTGGGGCCTTCCCTTCCCGTTAATTCGGCGTCAGCGGTTGGCCAATGTTTGATATGATTGAACAGGTTAAACTGCTGTGCCCAAATTTCGGCCTCGTGGATCCGTGTTTAA